GTCAGCGTCATCGTCGTCGTCATCCTCATCATCATCCCGCCTCAGGTGCCCGCTTCGCCTTCTATATCGGCCCGCGTCTCCGCCTTCTCCAGCGGCAGTTGCACCCCTCGCCGCCACGCCAAGAGCCTTTGCTGATGATATTCATATCTCGGCTGCCAGCCTCCTCTGCAGTACAAGTGGTCTTGAGGACCACCATTAGAGTTAGCAAGTGCACGGGCCTGCTGGTGAACCTTTGCAAACGTACGAGTGTGCACATCAACCCGATGACGGATGCCGAGCTCATCAGAGTTTGCAGCACGGCATTTGTGGGAAGGTGTTCGACATTTTTGTGGGGCTTGGAGGGTGTTCTAGAAATTGGGAGGAGCCGATCAGGAAGTAGATGAGTAGAGTTCGGCGCGTTCGCTCCTTGAGGCTCGGTCTTACCCATCACAGGAATGCCTACAACTCGTTCGGTTTCTTGGTGCATTCCTTCGTTGGGCAGCTACGTTTCGCTCCGTCCAACGCTCTCGCTGTTGAGGTCAAAGGTCTTCAGGCTTTATCTGCGTGCCCCTTCTAGGGTTTCCCGGCTGAGATGCGGAATAATTGGGAGTGTTTATGGTGGCCGTTTTCTCCCCTCAACTTGCCGGTTGAGAACCAAGCCGTTCTGGATTGTGTTGCGGCCCGTTCCAGGATTGTTGATTGCATCCAGGCGCGAATTGCCAGCCTCGAGGATGATTCATGGAATGTGTTGGTCGCAAGCAGTTATCCGCAACGGAGGAAGGAGAGAGCATGGTCATGCAACGCATTCGGAATTGATCGCTTACCTGGAATATTTTCGATGAGGACATCCACAAGCATCCTAACGGAGTGTTGAGGAACCGTAGATGTGAGGTTCTCTTCAGGCTGGGCGCGGCGGTGCTTTCTCCTCGGGTGCACCACGCTGTTCCTCATGTCAGTGCTATTGCTATGGACCCGGTGGTCCTACGGTTAAGGTTGGTTTTCACCCAGTTGTCGCCGTTTGTTTGTTTCGCCAGGCTCAAAATCCTTTGTCATGCTTGGGCGACCTCCGCCAGCCACAGGAGGTGATGCGCTCTTGCATTAGGTCGAAAACCATGTTGTGTTCCTTCTTCGGTCCTCCGTCACCTCCCAAGCACATGTAGCATCATGTCCATTGCTGGTCGTGCTCTGTATACCTCTGCCGATTGTTTGGATCGCCGCGAGGTGCAAAGTACATCCCTCTTGCATGCCCTTTTGTATGCCACGTTCCAGTTTTCCGGGGCGCAGAACAAGTGGGGGCCAGCGTGTGTTCGTCCGTTCTTCCTAGCCATGTTGGCTCAAGCCATTCTGGCTCAAGGCTCAAGTGAGGCTCAAGCCCCAAGCAGTCAACAAACATCCCCTTCATTCACTGCATCTGCGCCATGGCATGGACCAAAAAGCAATTGATTTAAACGTCGAGCAGCAAAAGTTGTGTTTGGAAAAACGATGGCAATACAGACCGGAACCGCGATGGGAACGCAGAAAGTTCGCAGAAGTGACCCTAGGAAACCAGTTTGATATAATCCGCCGGTTGGGCGAAATCGATTCCCACATGTTGCGTGCAGAAGTGCAGGCAAATCAATATTGTCAGTACCCTGTCCCGATGGAACGTATTGTAACAATGCAAGGGACAACCTGGTATGTTGAGGTACCTGAATTTGAGTACGTCCAGAAGGTTGTCGAATTTCCCAAGGTTTTACGTGTGGAAAAGATCGCAGAGCAGACACTTGTCATGCCAAGCACTCGAAATAATGCCGGCAGTGGTGGAATGGGTCGAGACGGCGCCCCTTCTTGTTGGCGAGCCACGTATCTAGTGAAGATGAAACCATCAAGGAAGTGGAGGTCACAATTGACGGTCGAATCTCGAATATTCAAACAGACATAGATTTGTTCATCGATGCGAAAGACGAAACAAGTTACATAGGTTTGGTGCTGCATACGCTTGGGAACGAAATTATGGAATGCAAATCAACATTCCCCAATCCAAACTGCGCGAAGTTACCAAGGATTGAAGTGGAGCAGCGTTATGAGCTCATGCATCGATATTGTCTCTGGCGGAGTGTATGCGACAAATTTCACAATGGGACTGGAGACCCGCTGAGCAAGACAAACGAGTTTTTGGAACTGATGTTACTTAACAGCGAAGACTGATAGGTTTCTAGTAGTGTCAAAAGAGAGCATCATGACTCCCCAGGGGGGGGTCTGGGCGGGATCCGGACGGGATCCGGGGGAATCCGGGAATTTTTTATTGACCAACAGTAACGCACTTCGTGGCCTTCGAGTTCCCAGAACTCCATTCCTGGACATGATTTTGAATGCCCGGAACCAATTGTAGGCCACTTCGTGTTCTTCGAGTTCCCAGAACTCCATTCTTGGGCATGATTTCGAATGCCCGGAGCCAACTGTAGGCCACTTCGTGGTCGTCGAGTTCCCAGAACTCCGTTCCTGAGCATGGTTTTGAATGCCCGGAGCCACTTGTAGGCCACTTCGTGGTTTTCGAGTTCCCAGAACTCAGTTCCTGGGCATGATTTTGAAACGGAGCCAACTGTAGGCAATTTCGTGTTCTTCGAGTTCCCAGAACGTCATTCCCGGGCCACATTTTGAATGTTGAGGCAGGCTGATGCTGAGGCTGAAGCGGGCTGAGGCCGAGGCAGGCTGAGGCTGAGGCCGAGGCTGAAGGCAGACTGAAGCTAAAGCTGAAGCAGGTTGAGGCTGAGGCTGGGGCAGGCTGAGGCTGAGGCTGAGGCTGAGGCTGATTCTGAGGCAGGCTGAGGCTGAGGCAGGCTGAGGCTGAGGCTGAGGCTGAGGCAGGCTGAGGCTGAGGCCGAGGCTGAAGGCAGACTGAGGTTGACGCTGAAGCAGGCTGAGGCTGAGGCTGAGGCAGGCTAAGGCTGAGGCTGAGGCAGGCTGAGGCTGAGGCTGATGCAGGGTGAGGCTGAGGCAGGCTGAGGCTGAGGCTGAAGCAGGCTGAGGCTGAGGCTGAGGCAGGCTGAGGCTGAGGCTGAGGCAGGCTGATGCTGAGGCAGGCTGAGGCTGAGGCTGAGGCTGATGCAGGCTGAGGCTGAGGCAGGCTGAGGCTGAGGCCGAGGCTGAAGGCAGACTGAGGCTGAGGCTGAAGCAGGCTGAGGCTGAGGCAGAGGCAGGCTGAGGCTGAGGCAGGCTGATGCTGAGGCAGGCTGAGGCTGAGGCTGAGGCTGATGCAGGCTGAGGCTGAGGCAGGCTGAGGCTGAGGCCGAGGCTGAGGGCAGACTGAGGCTGAGGCTGAAGCAGGCTGAGGCTGAGGCTGAGGCAGGCTGAGGCTGAGGCTGAGGCAGGCTGATGCTGAGGCAGGCTGAGGCTGAGGCTGAGGCTGATGCAGGCTGAGGCTGAGGCAGGCTGAGGCTGAGGCCGAGGCTGAAGGCAGACTGAGGCTGAGGCTGAAGCAGGCTGAGGCTGAGGCTGAGGCAGGCTGAGGCTGAGGCTGAGGCAGGCTGAGCTGAGGCAGGCTGAGGCTGAGGCTGAGGCTGATGCAGGCTGAGGCTGAGGCAGGCTGAGGCTGAGGCCGAGGCTGCAGGCAGACTGAAGCTGAGGCTGAAGCAGGCTGAGGCTAAGGCAGGCTGAGGCCGAGGCTGAGGCTGAGGCGGGGTGATGCTGAGGCAGGCTGAGGCTGAGGTTGAGGCAGGCTGAGGTTGAGGCAGGCTGAGGCCGAGGCCGAGGCCGACGGCAGACTGAGGCTGAGGCTGGGGCAGGCTGAGGCTGAGGCAGAGGCAGGCTGAGGCTGAGGCTGAGCAGCTGAGGCTGAGGCTGAGGCTGAGGCTGAGGATGCAGGGTGAGGCTGAGGCAGGCTGAGGCCGAGGCCGAGGCTGAAGGCAGACTGATGCTGAGGCTGAAGCAGGCTGAGGCTGAGGCAGAGGCAGGCTGAGGCTGAGGCAGGCTGAGGCTGAGGCTGAGGCAGGCTGAGGCTGTCACTGCGACTGCCATTGCCACTGCGACAGTCATCGCGAATGCGACTACGATTGCGAGAACAGCAGAATTCTACAACTGGATTCTCATCCGAATCTTAAGGGGAATGTTTCCAGATATGCTCCTACACATCGCTGTTAGATTGCTTTGCCGGGATAATACAAACTACACAAACGATTGCCGAGGTGATGGGTTTCGCACAAACGCATGCGAGGCAAACGCGCCCCTTTTTTACGACGCTACAGGTTCAAACCCATGGCAAGGATTGTACCAGTGGAGCCAACAGTACACACTCGAGATCATAAAGTGACCACGTACTACGACATTTGAGTTTCGGCGCTACGGCGCCCCCGCCGAGATGTTAGAGGGCCGCCCCCCGGGGCGCACATCGGCGCCTGTCCTGTCCTGTCCTTACCCGCGCATGTGCAATTCCCAAGAATAGGGATTCTGCGCGTGCTGCTCTCACCCAGGGATGGACTGGGCCTGAGGAGGGTGCGATCCTCCTCCCCCTCATCATCATCATCATCATCATCATCATCATCATCATCATCATCATCATCATCATCATCATCAGCATCATCATCATCATCATCATCATCATCATCATCATCATCATCATCATCATCATCATTGTCATCATCATCATCATCATCATCATCATCATCATCATCATCATCATCATCATCATCATCATCATCATCAGCATCATCATCATCATCAGCAGCAGCATCATCATCATCAGCATCAGCATCAGCATCAGCATCGTCATCATCATCGTCATCCGCCTTCCTCCTCCTCCTCCCCTTCCTCCTCACTATCCGTTATCCTCCTCGTCCTTTTACCGCCCTCTACCTATTGCTTGTAGTTTTTCCAAACCTCCTCAGAATCATTCCTCTTCTGTCCTCTGTGTTCCTCCCCGTCCTCCTCTTCTCTTGTCCTCCCGCCCCCTATTTCTCATCAGTTCTCATCGTCGTCAGCCTCATGTTTCTATTCCTCCTCGTCCCACTCCCCGGGCACCTCCCCCCTCCTCACACCCGTCTAAGGTTCCCGCCGGAGGAGATGCCTCAGCTGAAGGTCGCCCCGCCCCTGGTTCTGCGCATCTGTTCCTTTTTCTGCCCCCTGCTCCTCATCATACCCATGTTTTTCGTTAGGCTTCTCTGCGCAACTTATTTGCGTTGCTGTGCGTAGGAGGTCGCCGACGGGTCGACGGGCAGAATGCAACATCGAGGCATTTGGGGAGCGTTTCCCTGGCCTACCGCAGCCACGAGATGCTGACACCAGCAGGTGGAGATTTGTCACTGCAGAAGGGCGCCGTGCAGCGTGTCGACCACGTGGAAGCAAGAGGAGCCGCGGCCCGCCGAAGGCCAAGGATCGATACCCGCCACGGGCCGTTCACGAGGGGGCTTCGACGGGGGGCATGTGGGGGGCATGGACCACGGGCGACGAGGGGTGCACGGGCCACCAGGAGCCAGGGGCGACAAGGGGGCTCGACAAGGGGCACGATAGGGGGCATGGGCCACGTGGGGGGTGCAGCACTTGCCGCGGGGGACGCGGGAGAGGGCCACAGAACGGGGGATCACCAGCCGCGGGCCGCGGAGGCCAGTGCGCAGCACCCGCCGTCGTGCTCGCACGGGGCCTGGGGCCTCGGACGCGGGCTGCTGTGGATGACCACCACTCCGGGGCAACGATAGGGGGGGGATGCGCATACTCCAGATTTCGTAATAAAAGGGAGGGGGTCTGGACCCTCCAAGACAAGCCATTTCAGACCTCCCCCGTGGGAGAACCCTCCAAAACATCGTCCCCAGACCCCCCCAGGCCCTCCAAGATAGCCTGGAAGAGACCCCCCCCCGAAATGAGACCCCCTCCCTTTCATTACGACATCTGGAGTAGGGGGGAATGCACCGCTCGGCCCCCAATGGCCCACTGATGGCCGAGAGGGGCCCGCTGGCCCTAGCCTTACCAGCGGCGCGCGGGTTTTTACCATCGGGGCGGCCCATCGCCGATCCGTCGGCAGTGTGTCGCCTCACCTGCAGGGCCAGAAGGGAGGCCTGGCCCCAGACTGAGTAGTCGAAGGCCACGCTGTCAGATTGGATTGGGCCCCAAGGGCCAATCTGGCCTGGCCAAACTGGATGACTTGGGTTATTCGCCAGACTGGATTCGCGTTGGCTCCCTCGCCACATTGCCCCCGTTTGCCAGATTGGGCCTGCCAGATTGGCGCCAGATTGGCTTCGACTACCCAGCCAGAGCTGGAGGGCTCACGAAGGGGACCTCCTGCGGGTGCTGGCCGCCGAAGCTGAGGCGCGGCCACCGTGCGAATCACACAGTGGGGCCGCCAGGGAGCGACGGGATGCCAAAGCCAAGGTTAAGCACCCACCACGGGGCCGGACGAGCATCGTCGCCGCCGAGATTTTAGGGTTCGGGGTTGCGGGAAAAAACTGTACTATGCAGCGTTGGTGGTGAGGAGGTGTTCAGCAGGCGGTGTCGAAGGTAATACACCGAGGGTTGCGCAGGGATTAGAGGAAGTGAACGTTGCCGAAGGTTGCGCGATGAGTCTTCTCCGCGCGGCACAGGGCGCTTCGCGTGACGAAACGGTGTGATGCGAAAGGGGTGTGATGCGAAAGGGACGTACAGCTTGCTGGATAATTATAGAATTCATGCGAGGCGGACCGTACGTATTACATTGTATTGGCCTCACCGTTGTTCTGGTCCTGAGGAGAAGGAGATATTCGAAGCTACTTCCAGCGAAAGGTACCACTATGCGTAGCTCCTTCAAGACAGGTTATATTGTCTATGTATATATATACACTTCAATGTTTGGGGTGAGGTCGCAGTGGAACGGAGAGCCCTCCACCGGGATGTCGGTTTCGGTTTCGTGTTCGTGTCGTGCGTGCGGGTGAGGCGAAGTTGCGCGGGCACGCGAGAGGAATGATGCCGCCGGACGCGCCGGTGCCTAGGGTGCCCGGTCGGTGGCACGGGGGTGCCCCGTCGGTGGCGCGGGGTGCCCAGTCGGTGGTTCGATGTGTCTCAACGATGGCTCCTGCGTGATCGATCGTGATCGTGAGATCGATCGTGAGATAGCGATATCGATAGTAAGATAGCGCGATCGATCGCAACAGATCTTTGGCTGGGGTTGCCCTCCCGTGGCTGGGGGTGCCCCATCGTGGTGTCCCGATGGTGTCTCGTAAGGTCGATAGAGAGATCTCTTGATGAGGTCGCCACCTCATCGCCATCACAGTCATCGCAGGTGTTGTCACTTGGTGTTTCTTTTATATGTGTCAGGCGACTGAGTGAGCGGCGCCCCGGTGCCTCCTCCCGTCCCCACGCGCGGCCGCCCTCTGGGGCGAACTGGGAGTTGCCTCTTGCCCCTTGCCCAACCTTCTTATCACCCGAAGAATGGTCGTATACTTACACATATGCATGTTTGTACATGTATTTCTCTTCCTACATACATGCATATACGAATTGATACACACGTGTGCGTTCACACATGCATGTGTATTATATGTAGATGTGTGTATGTTGCATGCACACAGATGTGTATACAAAAATGATTACTTGTATATCGGTGTCGTTTCTGCTCCACCTCACCATCATCATCCGTAGCGTCGTCTGTCTACGACTTCATTGCACGAAGAGCGTTGCTGATGTGTCAAGGGCGATTGATGCTATTACAACCACCTTGATTATAACCACATGCGCAACTCTATTCATCCTAACATTCATTCCCCTGTTCTTCACCAGCGAAGAGTTCCTGATCAGCGTGTTCCTATTCCTCTCAAGCTTTACTTCACGGGCTTCAGTCACCTAGTCATTCTTCATGTGCACGCCGATGTCCGCTCTAGGCTGGACGAGGCGTTCACGTGCCACTTGCATCAGTGGTCTCGACATTCGCGTTGCTTCTTCGATCGGGTCTCACTGTGATCATGTATTTCGCCGCCAGCATCTACGATTACATCGCATGTACAGTCATCATTCAGTTTCGTTGCCGCAGCTCTTGATACTGCAGCCCGATCGCTGCTGGGCAACCGACATCATTACACACGAGAGAGGCAGAGTTGGTGAAGGCGCAGGACTCTGCCGTGGGCCGTAGCCCTGACTGCTGGAAGCGTGTCGACCCATGACATAGTCCACATCACGCTCGGAAATTGTTTGCCGATCCTGCCCTTCCAGCGTCATCGGACTCTTCGTCGTCTTGGTGTGAGACTAACAGATTGGGTCGTTTGCCGATGACGAGCATGATGACGAGACGCACAGCGTTGATGAACGACGTGCATGCCGTCTCCACCCAGCTGGTTTCATCGCGAGACTCGCTCGCATTGGCGACGGGCCAATTGACAGTTGAGTGGGAATCGTTAGTGAAATCGAGAGTTGTCCCCCCCCTGGCCTGAAGAGTCACGCGTTCGGCATAAGAATTTGCAAAGAGTGGACCATTGCAGTTTGAGGCACCAAACAGTGCGGCAGATTTCGAAGAAGGAGATTCTCACGGCCACGCGAAGTTGGAGCGAGATTGCCGGTGCGAAATGCGCGGCGCGGTGACGACATTGCAAAAGATCCGGATATTCGGAGCTTCACGCTTCGATACGATGAGGATGGCGTTTCATGTTCATATTCGGAGGATCCAGTTGTGAGGTTACGGTGCGGTGCAAGAGCAGCAACGCGGTTCTCGATCCACCCATTTCTGCAAAGCGACACGCGGAGGGATGGCCATAGTGCCTCCCTCTCTCGAATGCGGTACGCCCCCCTGGTGCACATGTTGTTCAACACCATCGGAGCCGAGGACCCGACATTGGCATGCACAAAATGCTTTAGAAGCGCATCAGTATGCCGTGCCAGCAGTCAGGCCGCGCGCGTGGTTCGTGCAGGCTTGGTTGCGCAGGGAGCGCGTCTCATTCCTCAACCGCCTCCGCCCCTCGATCCTGTTTTGTTGCTCCTTATTCGTCCATCCGTCTCCATCTCCCTTCGGTTGCCCCATTCAGTTTCGCCCTTTCTTGGCTACACCGCCCGCGCCAGGTCGTGGCGCTCGACGTCGACAGCTCAGCGCCTGCCAGTCGAACAACTTGTCGATCGCACTCACAAGCGTCACGCGTCGTGCGGTCATCGGCCGTCCGAACTTCTCGGGCTGATTGTGTGGCTTGGCCGATCGCTTGACCACCTGACCGTCCAGTCCTGAATACTCCAGATTTCGTAATAAAGGGAGGGGGTTCTCATTTCGGGGGGGGGTCTGTTCCAGGCTATCTTGGAGGGCCTGGGGGGTCTGGGGACGATGTTTTGGAGGGTTCTCCCACGGGGGAGGTCTGAAATGGCTTGTCTTGGAGGGTCCAGACCCCCTCCCTTTTATTACGAAATTTGGAGTATTGGGCCAGATGGCACTCGCAACTTGAGACCAGTATGGGCCTATCTGCGGCTCAGACTACCAATGACATGCTTCGTGCTCGAATTTTTGTACGTGGCCGGAGCATGCAGCGCCAAGGGGCCCATTGTGTTGATCACCGTGGCGATCATGATGCAAGTTATTATGCCAATTGTGATGTTTGAGGGACATACAGTCGACAAATTGTTCTTAGCGTTTCGCGTTGCCGATTCTGGCCCACCGCGCCTCGGCGCGACACGCTCACCACCTCCCAGTCCCCGGGCGTCAGTTTCCCCAGTTGTTCCTAGCCTCCTGCGCCGTCGAGCGGAGCGACACGCTATCCGTTCGCAGGGCTTAGCGTGTCGCCCTGGGCCGCCGCTGCGACACGTGATTCAAAGTTCTTGACCGCAGAACATCATGTGTGCCATCTTTGGGAGTGACATTCGCGCTTGTGCATGTAAAGCGTGTTGTGTTTGTGCGCGCCAAGGACGCCAACGAGTTCGCCAGCAGCCGGGGCGGCTGGCTGGGCGACTGGAGCCGCCTGCGGTTCTTCCACTGGGTGAACCCGTCGGAGACGGCCACCGCCTCTCGGAGACGGGGCAGTCCGGACCATGCCTTCATCGATCCTCTCATCTTCATCCTCGACCCTCGATCCTCCGGCCCACCCTCCTCGAACCTTCCCCTCGATACTCATACGACCACCTGCGGGTGATAAGGAGGTTGTGGGGGGGGGTGGGAGGGGGGTGGCTCATGACGACAACTGTGGTGAATGTGGTGCTGATGGCCGATGATGGTGTGGATGACGTGGCGGATTTCTGTTTGTTTTTCGCTTGGGCGTTTTGTGTCATTCGGTTTGCCGCTGCGCGACGCGGCACTCACCCCACGACGGTCCAGTCGACGATGCGTGCACTGGCAGGGACATGTTGGCGAACCACTAGCGACAGACAGGACAACGGCGGGCAACCGACGGGACAATGCGGGCCACCGCTTGACACGCGCCGGCGGGGGAAACATTTATGTTGGCGAACCACTAGCGACAGACAGGACAACGGCGGGCAACCAACGGGACAATGCGGGCCACCGCTTGAAACGCGCCGGCGGGGGAAACATTTATGTTGGCGAACCACTAGCGACAGACAGGACAACGGCGGGCAACCGACGGGACAATGCGGGCCACCGCTTGACACGCGCCGGCGGGGGGAACATTTACGTTGGCGAACCACTAGCGACAGACAGGACAACGGCGGGCAACCGACGGGACAATGCGGGCCACCGCTTGACACGCGCCGGCGGGGGAAACATTTATGTTGGCGAACCATTAGCGACAGCAGAATGAAGTCCTCTCGCCCGCGCACGCAGCTTCGCCTCGCCCGCACGCACGACACGAACACGAAACCGAAACCGATTTCCCGGTTGGGGGTTCTCCGTTCCACTTCGATCTCACCCCCCAACTTCCGATGTACTCAACTCTCCTCCTGGATGCCGAAGCAGAGGAGGGGGCCCCCTTGAGATCCGACATTGCAGAAAACGGCACAGCACAGCGCAGAAAAAAACGACCGGGGCCTCCAAATCTGCCGCAAATGCTTTGTATTGGTTTGGGTGACCCAAAAGGGGGTCAAGCTGAAAGGGGGTGGTGCAATAGGTTTGGGGCAATTGTATTGCAAATGTACTGCGTTGGAGAATTGGATTGCGTTGTATTACAAGTACTGCATTGCACGCGAAAATCCAGCAATACATGTGCGCCCCGGATGTACTGCACGCCTCAAATGTGTTGCAACACCACAAATCCACTGCACCAAATCTATTGCACCACCCCCTTGTCGCTGGACCCCCTTTTTTGGGCCAACCCGAAATGGTCCCGGGGCCTGAAGTTGGGCGAGAATGCCCCGTGCGGCAAAACTGCAACGTCCAGACCTCAGGGAGGTGGAGGAGGAGGAGGAGGAGGCGCAGGCGGAGGCGGAGGAGGAAGAGGTGGCGGAGAAGGAGAGGACAAGGGGGGGGGGTGGAGGCAGCAGGGAGCCGACGGGACCCTCGGGCGGGCGGCGGCGGCGCCGCGCGGGGGCGGCGCGCCCCTGCACGCCCGGCGCCTGGCGGGCGGCCTGCCGCCCTCGCAGTCGGGAAGAGCCCAGGGCCACGTCGCCGGAGGTCGTCGTCGTCGACGTCGTCGTCGTCGTCGACGTCGTCGTCGTCGACGTCGCCGGAGGTCGTCGTCGTCGTCGTCGACGTCGTCGGGAAGGAGCCCGGGGTGGGGGACGCGGCTTTCTGCCAAGAGGGGCGCGCGAAGGCCTCGCACTGGAGCGACGTCAAGGTGGGGGACCTGACCGCGCTCTACGAGGCCGCCCTCCACCCAGCGACGGACATTCTCGGAGCAGGCCACGGCCTGCCTCGGCCTCCCTCCCTTCCTCCTCTCCCTCCACCCTCCATTCTCCACCCTCCTCCGCTTCTTCCTCTCCCTCCTCACCCTCCATCCTCTCCCTCCCTCCCTCCTCTCAGCCCTCCTCCCCTTCCTCCTCCTCCCTCCCTTCTCTTCCAGTTGTGCTGGTGTCTTTGTGCTGGGGGCAGAGCACCAGCGGTATGGCATGAAGCACCGTGCTGCAGACTGGCCAACACACAGCGGCAAACCGGGAACCGCGGGTGAAATGCCAATCATGGTATCATGGTGTTCTGCTGGCTGGGCAGATCATCCCACAGATCTTTGCTGAAGCGCGACCAAGAGTACCCTTATAAGGTGCATGGAGGGATACCCCACCGACCGCGTGAAGACGCGATATTGGCTCAACAATGTGAACCTACACGTTTGAGGCGAGCAGAAGTGGCACACAAAACGCGGCACCATGACACCAGCAATGCATTCTCCTGTGCTCACGAGGGGAAAGTTGAGCACGCGGTCTTAGAAATTGTGAAAGAGGGAAAGGAGGATTTGTTCATGCAGAGGGGTTATACCAGTATTTTCGTCCAGTCAGATGGATTGGAGAATGCACACATGGCAAATTGATCAGGAGTACTGCCAGGAGATCATGCAGCCACCAAGCTCTTCGTCAAAACATATGGTTACGGCTTCGACAGCATGCATGCTATACGAAATGAGGAGCCACGGCAGCGAGCATTGCACACGACATTGCCCGCAGCCGTTCAGTCAGCGCACGACACAAATATCATCGACGTGGCGACGTCCACGTTCGTCGACGATGTGGCAAGGAAAAGCATGGGAGCGGATCAACATCATGTACTCCAGATTTCGTAATAAAGGGAGGGGGGTCTCATTTCGGGGGGGGTCTCTTCCAGGCTATCTTGGAGGGCCTGGGGGGGTCTGGGGACGATGTTTTGGAGGGTTCTCCCACGGGGGAGGTCTGAAATGGCTTGGAGGGTCCAGACCCCCTCCCTTTTATTACGAAATCTGGAGTATCGATCCAGGGAGCGGGGCCACTGGCGTCACAGGTCAACCATGGGTTTCGCAAGTGGAGTCTCGGGCTTGCAGGGAGAAGGGCTTCCGCTGCCATGTACGTTTGGGGGAGCAAAAAACAGTTTAACAATGGGTCTCCGGCCGCAAAGCACGCGAGGTTTCGGGCAGCAAACACGGCGTGGAACAAAATGGAAGTTTTCTGGAGTACCCTTCAAGTTGTTCAACGTTTAGAGTGTATCGTTTTCGTGGGAACGGTGGTGAATGCGACCCGATCGGGCTTAGAATCTCATGTATCGGGTACGAAGAAATCGTTTACGAAACAATCTCTAGAGCCCCTGGAGCAAGTAGTATTCAAATACGCACGAGTGGTATCCCATCGGAAGCACACGGTACGTCAAGGTCTGTAAGCACGAGCAGCTCGTTATCTAGAAGGTCAGCGCATCATGAAGTACAGCAGCATTTTTGTCGAGCTCAGGGCTCGGACTCTGAAGCGGCTGTAGGACATCGTCGCGAGGCAGAAAAACCATCGTCGGGTCATTGCTGCCCTGGTCGGCCAGGCACAGTATGAGGCAACGAATATTGAAGTGTCGAGCGAGGGTGAAGTTCTCCCAGGGACCCTTGCTTGGACCAAACAGTTGCAGCTTGATGTGCAAGCGCTGTCTGAGCTGGGAGAGAGGGACGAACCAGCGTCCAAGGTCGAGGGTAAGTTGCTAAGGTTGGTCTTGGGTGAAGCCAGTGATTTTTCCAAAATTAGACGTCACGCAAATTAGGTCGAAGTAGCTGTCTGTAGCAATACCTCCACCGGGGCCCCCTCAGCGCCAGTAGGAGGTTGAGGCCTCACCGACCCCTCCTGGAAGGTAAGCTCTTCACATGTGTGTTGTATGCGCTGGTAGTTCCCAGTCAAATAGAGCCCTTATCGCCCACGTGGGTGGAGTTTGCGAGAGAGTAGGCAGTGAAAGAGGCTCCCGGCTAGTATCTGCTTGCGCGATTAATCGAAAACCCGACGCAGTGACCTTGTTTGGCTATTGTTGATCATGTCACATTACGTTTGCCGATCGAGAGACGGCACGAGGACATCGGGTTGCTGCGATTAAACACAAACGATGTATGACGGATTTCAGTTTACGAAAGCTTGCCCGCGTGGAACACACGTGTGCACAGCACACAGACGCAATTGTTTGTGTAGATTCGCCTGCTGTTTTAGAATTTTCATGTTGACGAATCACATCTGCTAGGGTACCTGGACCAACACCCCCTCTCCTTCGATGGCGATGTGGCTGTCAGCGGTCCAAAGCGTGGATCCAACGACTGGGGACAGCACCAGGAGAGGCAGGAAGGAGAAGACCGACACGGGAGGAGTTGAGAAGAAGTTGATGTTTCAGTTGTAGACACGGATGAGAGAGAGAGAGAAGCCAGCGACATCCATTTTAGTTGTGATGTTGCAAGGGGGCTACAAACAAGTACGTCGCGGAGGTAAGTAAAGGCACAAGGCAGCGGACACAATCCCTGCAGCCCGCACTCCCATGCATTCGCCAGCATGTTCGAACCCATCGCGGCGACCAACCTCGACGGCAACCCAAACGAGCTCAAAGTATTGTGCAGGACCGTTGCAGGGCTACACAAAGCCGCGGTGATCGACAGCAAACCAGCGGAGATTGAGGATTTCGTGCACAGGTGCAGGGCGAGCGACTACCATAACAAGCAGGGAGCTCAGCCGATGTGCCAGGTTAATTTTGCGGTGGATGGGTCCCTGGCCAACGGGCAAAACGAGCACCGAGGATAACGAGTTAGAGCACGTGAAGTCGCACCCACAGGAGTTAAATTGCAACGCCAAGGATGTCCACATGGCGCTGGCGAGGTTCCTCTCGCTTTGTCTCAAAGCGGCGGGAATGACGACAAAGCAAGGGAAAGCGCCCGTAGGAGGTCAGGCCCACTCTCTCTGTCAGAGGTAAGTAGACAGTGTGCATAATTGCATCGGTAGCAGTGGCAGTAGGCATCGCAGGTCTAGCAGGAGGCCCATCCTCCATCCATCGTCCCCTCCTGAGCCTCCATCCATCGTCCTCTCGCCATCCCACCTCAGAGACATCTTGGGAGCAGCGTCTTGCAGCGCTCAATGGGAGAAGCTTGCAGAAGGAAACCAGGGGCCGCAAATAAACTATATTTGCAATTCCGCGCCTAGTCCGCCCTGCTTATGCCACGTCGGCACTAACAGTGGGGCTTACTTCGGCCCTGCGTTCCCGTCAGTACTTTGAGGCCCCCGTCAGTCTTCCTCCTCCTCGTCCTCCACCGCCTCCTCCTTATCCTCATCCGCATCCGCATCCTCAATATCATCATCATCATCCTCATCCTCATCTCCCCGCCTCTTCCACCCGCCTCCTCCCCCTCCTCTTCTTCCTCCTCCTCCTCCTCCTCCTCCTCTTCCTCCTCCTCCTCCTCCTCCTCTCCTCCTCCTCCTCCTTCTCCTCCTCCTCATCCTCCTCCTCCTCCTCCTCCTCCTCCTCCTCCTCCTCCTCCTCCCCTTCTCCTCCCACTCCTCCTCCTCCTTCTCCTCCTCCTCCTTCTCCTCCTCCTGTTCCTCCTCCTCCTCCCCCTGCCCCCGCCTCCTCATGGCTCCTCTTGAGAGCCGCCCGGGGGGCACGCGCAGTGCACGGAAGGAGGCGACCGGGGAGCAGGGGGGCCAGTGAGTGGACCGCGGGGGGCAGTGGTGAGGAGGCGGGAGGGAGGGGTGGAAGCAGGATAGGGATGCCGAGGAGCAGAGCAGGGAGGGAAGAGGGAGACGTGGAGGAGCAGGAGCAGCAGGAGTCGAGAATGGATCGGACGAGCCGGGGAGTGCGGCGTTGTTCGATTCCTTGGAGCGGCATGTCGCCCCGTATGCTGGAGCTGAGACGACTGCCCGAATGCATGTTGACCGGGTTCTTCCCGAGAGAACCGCGAGATTCTGTGCGTTGTCTCAGACCATGAAATTTTCGGGCCCCGGTCCGCTCCCCCCTCCCCTCCCCGCTTTGAAACCGTTGGCGGCGTTGACGACGGAGCCCCTGCAGTGCTTTTGGCCAACGGATTGCCAAGCATGGCACGATGTCAAGAAGTCTGGCGACGAAATGCTCCCCGAACAGATAGTTCGAATTGTAGGTGGGGCCATCAACGTTCGATGCTCCCGTTGGGTGGCCCGTGGCACGCTTGTGGCCCCCTGGTGTGGAGTGTCATATCAGCTTTCGGCCTGGTGGCCCATAGATGGTCCTTGACCTCCTCGTGGCCCCCTATTGCCTGGTGGCATCTGGCTGTCTGTTATCGGAGGACGCGTAATGGGGGGACGATGAATGGGATGGCAGCGAGAGCTGCCGCAAAGGGGCCCTTGAGGGCCCCTAAAGGGGCCCTTTCGGGTCCCAAAGGGGGTTTTGAGGGTCCGAAAGGGGCACCTTTCTTCTCCCCCAATCATCTCCCCCCATCAATTCGCTCCCAACTTTCAATCCGGTGGCTCGTCCCCTCCCCCGTGCCTCACTCGGGGCCCCGAGGTGACCAGGGGCCTCTAGCCCGTGACCCCCCCGTGATTTCCGCGCAGCCTCGCGGTGTGGGGCGGCGTCTCAACGTTCGATCCAGGGGCTCTCGGTCCACACCCTCCGAGGAGGGCGTGGACCAAGGGCCGAGCTCAATATCGCCTCGAGCCTGGCATACCTCGGTATCATGCTTGGCCCTAGCGCAGCCGTCATGGACAGCTGGTTTGCCGCCGTCAAGAACTGACCGCAGCGGGGGAGCATGCCGCGGGCTATCCCAGCAGGTATGGCACCGACCATCCAATTGTATGACTCCGCGATGCTGCCAGTCCCACTGTACCTCGCGAAGTTCTGGCCGCTCCATCAGAGGCAAGCTCGAGCTTTTCCACGCCGTCCTGAAGGCGCCGCCGAAAAGCGTCGCACTGGGCGACTTGCTGAGCATGAGGGAATTAGTGATCGGTCGGGCCCGCGCTGACGGCACGGCTGCCGGGCTGCGGCTTGGAGGACATCTGAACCCACTAGATTCGAGGGTGGCGCGACATCGCAGCAGCGTGGCGGCAATGCACAGTGGCAGTGCTACCAACGCGCGCGGCGTTGGAAGAGCAAAGAGCCGCAGATTTCTGGACCGGCATGGCTGCCGCTGCAGGCCGCCGTGCACTCGCGCAGCGTGCACCACTCCGCGGCGCGCGTGGCCTCTCCAGCCACCGCATTGGCGCTGGCCGCATTGCGGTCCAGCGCGTGAAGTTACCGCCACTTGCGCGCACCCGACCACCGCAAGGCTTTCTGAGCGGCCTCGTAGGCAGGCGCTCTCGAAGGCTTGTCGCCCCTCCTCACGGGCGCCCCCCTTCCTCCTCCTCCTCCTCCTCCTCCTCCTCCTCCTCCTCCTCCTCCTCCTCCCCCTCCTCCTCCTCCTCCTCCTCCTCCTCCTCCCTCCTCCTCCTCCTCCTCCGCTTCTTTCTCCTCCACCTTCCCCCCCTCTCCTCCTCCTCCACTTCCTCCTCCTCCTCCTCCTAAACCTCGTCCTCCTCCTCCGCCTCTTCCTCATCCTCCTTTTCCTCTTTCCTCCTCCTCCTCCTCCTCCTCCTCCTCATCATCATCCTCCTCATTTTCCTCATTTTCCTTTTAACGCCGCACAAGCTTCACCAGAAGGTGAATGGGAGCATGCTCAGTTTCTTCTGCCGGTGCCCCTCCTCATTCCTCCCCTTCCTCCCCTCTCCTCCTTCTCCTCCTCGTCCTCCTCTTCCTCCTCCTCCTATCCCTTCTCCCCCTTTCCCTCCTCCTCCTCCTCCTCCTCCTCCTCCTCCAGCTTCTCTTGATCCTCCCTTGTTCGTTCTCTGGCGTCCTCCTCCCACTGTTCCTGCGCCTCCTCCTCCTCGTCCTCCTCCTCCTCTTTCATCCTCCTCATCCTCACCCTCATCCTCGTTTTCATCCTCATCCTCATCCTCATCCTCCCTTCTCCGCCTCCCCCTTATTCAACGGGGCCGCGGAGGCACAAGTATGTGCTTCAAGGCTGGGTCTACTCAGGCTGAACCCAAGCTTGGGTTTGACGGCTGATCCCCTTTTGTTACATTGCATGCTCTTGCGACAGTGCATCTCGCGTGTGCACCGTTGCCGGTTGGGCTGGCAGGAGCACGAGAAGCGTTTAGAAAAGTTATTTCGGTTGTTTCTGAAGCGTTTGCGGTATGGCTTGGCGCTGGATGGCCAGGGGATAGGGAGGGGGAAGGGAGAGGAAGGGAATGAGAGAGGGAGGGAGGGACGAAAGGAGGGAAGGAGGGGAACATCAGGAAGGAGGGCGAGAGACGGGGGGGGGGGAGAGAGACGGGAAGGGGATGGATGGAGGGACGTCGGCGAGAGAGAGGAGAGGAAGGAGAAGAAGCAGGCCCTCCCCTCCTCCCCGCTCCAGGGTGAAGTGGGTGGGGGCGGGCGGCGCGGGGGCACCCGCAGGCGGATCCATGGCTCGCGTCCTGGCGGGCGCAGGGCCCGGCTCACTGCTGCGCCCCGTGCGCGACCTCATGGACTCCATGCGCGTGGCCGAGGCCCCACCTCCCCAGTGGGGGCGGAGGAGGAGGGAGGAGGGGGGGAAGGGGACGAGGGAAGAGGGCGAGAACGAGGAGGAGGAGGAGGAGGACGTGGGAGGAGGAAGACAAGGATGCATAATAGTTATAAGAATAAGAAGAAGAGGACAACGAATAACAAGACTAGGAGAAACACCAATAATGATACGAAGAATATGAAAACTAAGAAGAGGAAGTAGGAGGAAGGACAGAAAAAGGATGCACTGAGACCGGGACAGACAGACAGAGACAGAGAGACAGAGAGAGAAGGACAGAGACAGAGAGACCGAGAGGCAGATGGACAGAGAGAGAGGGAGAAACGGCATGATGTGGACACGCGCGTCAAGGCTCAAGCACGCTGCCGGCCAAGCTCTTTTAGAGCCAGAGGTTGTCGCCTAATCCACAAGTTGCGAAGGCTATCGCCGCCGATGTGCGCGGGGCCATAAAGTCCCCGCGGCACCATGTGCAGACCATGCCCCCCCCCCAAGGAGCAGACCGCCCTCCGCCCCCCCCCCCCCCCCCGGGAACTTCGGGGTGACCAAAAGGCGCCGGCGCCGCGCGGCGGAGCCTTCCCGAGGTGCCAGGCCTCGCGGGGCACGGCGCACGCGGGCGAGCGCCCGCCAGCGCGACGGAGGCCAGTCCGCCAGACCTCCTCGGCACAGAGGAGGAGGGCACCCGCCGTGAGGCTTTTCCCCACGCGACGCGCACGGCTCGTCGCGCGGCCGATGTCGCCCCCGCCCGCTTGGCGAAGCCTCGCGGCACAACCTGGCTGGGCGGCGCAAGCGGGCAGCAGCAGGAGCGCCGTCCAGCCCGACGGAGGCTTAGTGCGCCTGACCTATTGAGCGCAGAGGCGGAGGGCCCCCGCCGTGTGAGGAGGTGGCGTTGGCGAAGAGGGACGCCCCCCGGACGTGGGGGCCAAGTCACGGCGCGCTGCGCGCGCATCATAGCACGAGGCCAGGCTGATCCCGCCGCGGGCCCGCAAGCCTTGTGGGGCCATCAGAGACCCGGGGCGGAGCCCACACCACGGCCCAAGCTTGCCCTGGTGGGCTGGCAGGGGCCGCGTCGGCTGCTTCGCATGACGGCCACCCACTCTGTGGCAGGGGCGGCTTCGGACGGGCTCTGCCGCGACCAGAGGGCACCACGGGGACCTCCAGACTTAGTCGTCTCTCGAACTAAAAAAGAGAACATGTGCTGACAACGGCGACATCCACAGCTTCCCAAGGGCCCCGACACGAACAAACAAACAGAAAACACGGGCACGCGCCAGCAGGATAAGGGGGGTGTCGGAAGAGGCGCCTGGAGTGGAGAAGGTGCTGCCATTTTCGACAGGCACAGGCTCGGCACCGCTGACGCCCTCGCATCCATTATTTGTCCCGTCCGCCTCCTACGCTCTGATTGGCGAGCGCTGCCATCCCGAGCGGTCGGGCCTTGCTGGCTGGCACGCGCGATTAAGACGGCTGCGCGCGCCGGTGGGGGTTGAGTTCGAGGAGAGATTTTTGGAGGGCCTGGTTGCACGCGAGAGGAAATAGCATTGGAAACGCATTGAAAATATGGAAAAATTAACGGACCGGGCGGGCAAGAGGAGCAACGGGGAGTTCAGCGCGGGGAACAATGTTGCTTCAATCCCCTGACGTAGCCGTCTCAGCCAACGGCGCTAACCAGCAGGGGCCGCGCGTTCGGGATGACAGTGCTCACCAAGCATAGCGCGCCTAGACGGGCCGCCGGAGACCACGCCCGTCGAAGACGGCAACGCCTTCCCCGCTCCGGGCGCCTCCTCCGACGGCGACCGAGGGGCGCAAGGGGCCCCTGATTTGGGCGCGCGAGATGACCGACCACCTCTGGGGAAGAGACTGAAATTGAAAGAACATGGCGCGCTGAGAACGAATAGAAAAACGGTCGGAAACGGCAGCTGCAACGGAAATGCCCCCCCCCTCAAAAAAAAAAGAACACGGAAACGGAAGCGAAACAGGGCAGACAATTAACATAAAACGTGAAAGTTCAAAACGACAACACAAACCACTGTTTTCAGAGAGCTTCCGGCGCGGTGCCCGCGGGGCGCGCCGTTGCCGAGGTCAGCGGCCAGCGCTTGGCGGCGTTCGCCACGGGCGCCCCCGGCGCGACCGGCCATCGTCACCGATGGCTAGGCGATGGGATTGGCCCGATCATTCTCGCCCGAGTACCCAGCGGGGCCCGTGCCGATCCGATCGATCCGATTGGATATCGATTCCAGCCAGCCCGCTTCGATTCGACTCCAATTTTCTGGCGATCCGATCGGGCCCCACGTTCGCACGGCGACGCCGTGAATCTTCGAGCGGCCGATTCGATAAGACCCCCACTTCGTCCCGGCGCGGCCCGATCCGACGCGCTGTCCGATTCGATGCCGATCTTGACTGGGGCCTCCATCGGTTCTCGCCCACGCAGAGAACGCGCGGGTCGTGCTCCGAAGGCCGCCGGCGTTGCGCCGGGCGCCCGCGGCAAGGCCGACCGCTGCGACAGCGGCGCACGGGGCGCGCCGCCGCGCGAACGGCCGCGCCATTCGGGTCGATTGACAGAGACAGCGCCGACGCAGCCGTCGGCGCTGCGAGCGGTCTCGGCACGATTGTCCTGCGGGGGCCCTCGGGCACGGGCGCCGCGCGCGGCCGCGGACGCCCGACGCCCGACGGACCATTCGCGCAAACGGCGTGCTTGGCCAGACCAACGCGCCCCCCCCATCAACCCCCCCCCAGTTCTGGCCTCCGTCCGCGGGCTTCCAGAAGCGCCTCGGGCCCCCGGCGGTCGCCCGAAGGCTTCGGAGGCCCCCAGGGGCGTCGAGGGGCCGCTGGCGAGTGGGGCAGCGTTTCCCCCGGTCCGCAACGGCCGCCGCGCGTGCAGAGTGGGCGCCGTCGGCGACTGAGGACAACCAGCTTCGCGCGCGGCGCAGACGACGCCCCTGGCCAACTGCGGCAGCCACGAACGCGAAATGCGGCCGCGCTCGCCCGAGCCCGACGCAGACATCAGGATGGGGGGTCACGCGGGCGCGGCCCAGTCCATGCTGCGTCGACGAGCCCAGCGGCGCCTCCAGGTGGACTAAGGAGATCGGAGGTCGGCAGGAAGGACGCCAACGTGGCCGAGATGCCATCGTCTTAGCGGAGACGACAGGAAGGCCTAGACCCTCGCGCGCAAGCGCGCGCCAGCCCGCGCGGGCAGCTCCAGCGCGAAGCCACCCCCGGCAAAGCCCCGTTGGGGCGTCGCCCGGGCACCCGAGGAGGCGGCGGGCGGAAAACATGTCGACCGCCGTGGGGGGGCGCGCTGATCTGGTTCGGTCAAGGCCCAGGTGGGCTCGAGAGTCTTCGCGAGTCGCCGTGCGCGCGAGGCCCGGGCGGCCGCCCGCGCCGCCCCCAGGTCCTGGGGCCGGCGCCGCCGGAGCCGGCGCAAGCGCGCGCGTTCGCGGCCGCCTGGGCGGCGTCGCAGCCGGAGCGCGGCCCCCCGGGCCGCCGGCGGAGGTCTGCCGCTCGCCTGCTCGCGCGAGCCAGACATGTTGCGGGGAGAGGGGGAGCGGCGGGATCGGGGGGGGCAAAAGCGCGGGAGACGGAACGCACGGGAAGAGAGGCCGAGCATATCAGACCAAATTGCCAGGCTGCGCACGCGGCTGTGCCTTTTGGTTCTTCGGAACCAGGCACTGGCGAAGTGCAGGCCACGTCGACCTTTGACCACATTTGACCACGTCGACCTCGCGCAGGCAGCGCCACGCGGCAAGGGCGCGTCGGCGGAAGGACCTCCACTGCGACGCTCGGAGCACGCGCGCAAAGAGGCCGAACGGGAGGTGCAGCCAAGACAGGTGGGCATCCCAGTCGTCATGCATCATGCTACAGGATGGCTAAGTCCGTTCGAATCGAGAGATGGTTTGCCAGTTTCTACCAAATGGACCACCTCCTTGGAAAGGGCTGCCCGTCGTCGCGCAGCTTTTCCATTGTGGCGCCAGAACGGGCGCCTCTGCGCGCCTGCCCCCGCGGTCTGAGAAGGGCCTCCCGCTGCGCCTCGGCGCCCAGCTCATGGGCATGCCCAGGGACAATGAGAGCGCAGAGGGCCCGCTGCGAGATCCGGGGCCGCCCTTCGAGGTGACTGGCAGCGAAAGCCGAGCACTTGCAACTCGCGCTGGGGGCCTGGACGTCGGCACCAGTGGCGCGCGCACTAGCAGCGAGGGGCCTGATCGGGCGGGCGCGAGCATGGGCGCTTCCTGGGGGACGCGCCCAACGCGGGGGAGTCGAGAAGCAAGGTGCCGAACTCTAGCATACGCGGTGGCCGCTAGGCTCAGACCGTCATCATCCGCTACAAGCGCCACGCTGATGTAACCCCCCACAATTTTCACCTGGCGCTGAACTTGCAGCAGGAGCCCATTGAGTTGAACAGCTGCCACCTGGTGGTGGAGCCCACCGCCGACGGCCCCGCCCACGACTATGCTGTCGTAGTTTCTGTTGGCCTAAGGGGTGGTCGAACAGGGCGGTCTCGCCAAGAGCTGCATGGGGCCCCCCGGCAGCGGGCGCGGCGGATTTCGACGGAGGTCATTATCAGCGATCGCGGCGCGCAATGGCTGGCACGCACGCAGCGCCAAGTTAAGACAGATGTCTGTGGCGAGGCAGTCGAAACACTTGTGCCTGTCGAGTGCCGCTCCAGCCAGGGGCGCCTGGAGATGTCGGGCGCGCCCCACCTGCAATGCCAGCTGCGCGGCGATTTTTCCGGCGACGGCGCACGGCACCACGCCGAAGTTCGCTGGGCGGGTCCAGTGGGCCCCTCACTATGCGTAGCCGCGGCAAGCTGGCGCGCTTGCCGCGCGCGCATCAATATCGACATGATGGACAGAAAGTGCGGGTCCGCCGGAAGTTCCTCTTTCCCTCTTCCGAAGGCAGGGATTCGCGATGTGGTGGTGGGGGGGCCCCCCCCCCCCCGCGCGTTGCATGGTTCTCAGAGTTTAGCAAGGAGGCGAAGGTTCCGTCGGGCAGCGTCTTGGCATCATCGGTGGCTCATCCGTCTAGGCCGCCCGCTCAAGCGCCAGGTCGGGCGCGGATGACATCGACGAGCGCCTCGCTGGTCAGCGCGAAGGGCTGCGGGGGCGGGGTCGGGGCGCTCTTCGCGGCACTCCGCCTTGAACGTCTCCCACGCGGGAATAGCCGCGCCGGGGCTGGCCCCTGTCTGCCAGAGCCGCCCTCCCAGGCATCGCCCCTTCAGTGTCCGTCATGAGTTCAAGCGCGGTCCCTGTGTCAGCCAGGATTTGTTTTTGCTTGTTGGGCGAGGCGGGAGCTGCGGAGCCAGATGCGCCCCCTGCGGCCGCGCTGGGGGAGTCTGCTTGCGACTGCGATCGGGGGCCTCGAGACGGGGGTCAGCGCAGACGGGGGTCAGCCAGGGCACCAGATCCTGCAGGATCCTGCGAAGACCCCCTCTGGCTGACCCGGGTAAGCGAGCCGCTCGTGGCCGCGAGGCGGCCGCGCCTATTGGCTGACCTGGGTTTGCGAAGACCCGCGTTGCAGTTTTTTCCTGCATTGCAGTTTTTGGTTTCTTGCTGATCCGGGTCTGGATGGACCCGGGTCAGAAGATCCCCGATGCGAGTCTGGCGATTCACCGCGGAGGGGGGGCGCGCTCGTTTCGCCGACAGTCCGCCGCTTGCGCGCGCGGCGCCGCGCGAAGGGGCCCGCTGCGCGACGTGCGCAGGTAGACCGCGCTGGAGTCGTCAGCCGCTCTGACCCACGGCTTTTCGCCCAACCTCCGTCAGCGGCTCTCATCCGAAAGCGCCAGGCCTTGACGCGATCGGCGTTGCCCCTCTGGCCGCGCCTTCTCGATTGCACCTCCGTGGACGCGAGAAGGTTTTGTACTTGCGCGCATGCGGGGGTCTCGTCTGCTTTCCAAACGCGCGGGAACACTGCGAGGAAGGTGCGTGGCTGCCAGCGCGAGCCGCTATCCACGCGCGGGAATGGCCGTTGCCGCGCGTGCTGCAGTAGACACGGCGCTGCCCCAAATGACGTCTAACCGCTCTGAGTTGGCGCCGCAGCTTGGCGAGCGAGAGAGGCGGCGCACGCTTCTTGGAAGCGCGGCGTTGTAGCATGCTCGGTCGGTTCTCCACGTGCTCTGTCTGGGTCCTGCGGCGGGTTTCCCTCGCGGAGTTCGATGTGAACAGCGCGACCCGTGCGGTTGGCGAGGTTACATAGTTCGTCCACGTCGTCGGTTGTGTCAGCCTCGTCAGCTAACGCACAGCAGGCGCTTCCGATGTGGTATCCATGCGTTCGTTTCTCACCCCGGCCGATGGTCGGGCACGCGCGCGGGCATTGCGCATCGCTGTTCATAATCCTGGCTGGGTGTCTAGCAACAGCATGGTCGAGCGACACCAGGAGCCCGAGATGCCATTTGGTGAGTTGATCGTGAAGCAGGACAAAGTTAGCGATGAGTTGCCTGCCTCTGCTGTGAGTGAAGACGCCACTGCGCGTCCTACCCGTCCAAGGAGATATACGGTCCCAGCCTGGATCTCGCCCGTATGTACAAGCTCGTTCGCCTGGGTCTCCATTTGCTACGTTTGCCCGCCCGAGGGCGAGGATGTGCGACAAGCAAAACGAAGTCGTTTACGTCGCACCGGGGGTCGACACATCTGAAATATGGAACGTCTCCGGTTATATTCGCCGCGTGCCCAGACGCATTAGGATTGCCACGTGTTGTCGGAACCCGATCAGCCGTAGACGGACGCCAAATGTCTACCTTTGTGGTGTTCTTCGGCCGTGCAGCGGTACGTTGTGGCAGGGGCCAGGACAAGGAAAAGGAGAACGCTTTCGTCATCGCGTGGTCGCGAGGAGGGCAGTGACGCATGGGTCCCTCCTGGCGGTGTCAACGAGGGTTCCCTGCGCGACGACGCAGACACCTCCGTGATTGGCAGCCGTGGGGCGGAATTTGTCGTCAGTCCTGCTCTTCCGTGACCTTTGCACTGCACGTGAGGGACGGGGGGGAGGAAGGGGAAGGGAGGGGAGGGGAAGGGAGGGGAGCGGGGAGGAGAGGAGAGAAGAAGGGAGGCGAGAGGGCAGGGAACCCGCCCGGGCAGAAGATGGACAGAGAGGGGGCGAGCGGTTGAAGGTAGGAGAGACCCCTCTGAGCGCCAGGCGCCGCCGCGGCGCGAGTGTTGGTAGCTGCGGCGGCGGCCACGAGCTTTCGGCCGCGGGCCGCTGGCGCAAACAGGAAAGGCTCACGTGTCGAGGCCGCGAACTCGTTGTGCTTGCTCGTCGGTGTGTTGCCCCCTTCTGCTCACAATCAGTTCCGACGGTATGGTTTGTTTGACCGTGGCATTCTTCATCGATGTCGGCCCTTTTGGGGCCGTTTTCGGACACGTGACCGTTTTTGTATTCATTGTTTTGCCGATCGGCACGGGCCCCGAAACCCCGCGTCTCCCCTCCCCCCATGGAGCAGATCTTAGCTGTTTTTGGCGCCTGTTTCGGGCAGGTGGAGTCTCCCCTCATACGACGCACTGTCGCAAACAGTCGCACTAAGCAGAGGGTCGGAGCGCCCCCCTTATACTTTCCGCCCAATGTCGAAACGCCGAGTTAAGAAAAGCGCTCATTAGTCGGTGAGGACCTCTGGCGCCGCGGATTGAAACAATCACACTTGCGGGTGTCAGCGGACCTGTCCCCAGTCTTGCCCTTCCAGTTCGGCCCCCTCCCTGAGATCCGACGTTGCGACAAGAGTTGCGACATCGTGAAGAATCACGACCAGAGTCCCAGCACCCATCTTTCTGCGCCACTCCACGAGCCGGATCGATCTGTGATGGCCCCTGGGCCTGAAACATTGCGAAAACAGCCGGTAGGAAAAATATGCAGCGCCCAACTCTCGGGACATCTTGCCCGCCGCGGATCTCAGGGCTCGGGCATTGTGTGCGCTAATCGACGTGCGTCTCGCCGGGTACATTTGTTTGCCTCTGGACGCCGATCAATCCATCGCTGCCGTCCACTCATCATGCGATGTCTCTGCGCCTTTGAAGGCATTTGTGTTCGCGGCGGCAACGGCCAAAACGACCAATGACGGTAGAGATACCCCTCTTGAGGAGGAGGAGGAGGAGAATTTGTTTTGTTAGCTGGGCCAAACCCTTTTGACTGAGGCCTTGGCCCCCGGCTTGATCCGTAATGGCGAATAAGAGCCAACATTTTGCGAGAATGTTGTCTCAGGCGGTTTGCTTGTTTCGGCGAGCACACTCGTCTGCGTTCACATAAAGGTGCGAGGTGCCAGGGTAACGCTTCTGGGGTGCTGGGTGCATTATACTTTCGCTGGAGAGGGGAGTTCTTAATTAAACCACATATTTTGGAAGCCGTTGGTCCAACTTACATAAATGCACACGGAATTCCATATTTGAACACAGAGTTACACTTACAAATTTCTCATTCGGTTACGTCGCCGCGGGCGCCACCGCCGCCGTTATTATCGTCGTCATAATTGCAATCATTGTCGGCGTCATCATCTTTATCGTTTTCATTGTTATCATTGTCGTTATCGCCCTCGTTGTCGCCGTTACTATTATTTTTTGTTGTTGTCGTTATTATCGCAGTTATCCGAGCTTGGGGTAGTTCTTAAAACGAACTTTTCCAGACAAACGTAGCTGTCGAAGAAATTGGACATAAAAATACTTTTCGGGGCGAACCCCATTAATAGAAACCCAATCAATTATGAAAACTCGAATTTGAAAATCTAGAAACGCTTGAAACCAAAATCCGCTATTACGGAAACCGATGCTCTTTTATGGTTTTTCGTGTCCAAACATGCGGTCTGTGATTCTTCGCGTGCAGTTTGCGATTCAATGTGGGTTGTTTGTGACTCGTCGCGTGCAATTTGTGATTCAATGTGGGCTGTCCGTGATTCGGCGCGCATGGTTTGTGATTTAACGCGTGTTGTGTGGGATTCCGCGCGCGGGGTTTGTGGTTCAACGCGTGTTGTTTGTGATTCGGCGCGCGCGGTCCGTGATTCAATGCGTGTTGATCGTGATTCGGTGCGTGCGTTTTGTGATTCAATATGGGTTGTTTGTGTTTCTGCGCGCGCGGTCGGTGATTCAACGCGTGTTGCTTGCGATTCGGCGAGCGCGGTTTGTGATTCAATATGGATAGTTGTGATTCAACGCGCGCGGTTTGTGATTCTCCGCGGGGACGAGAATTGTGGTCTGTTATTTATACGTTTGGGCCATTTCAAGGCTGCGTCGAGGTATTTTTTCTCGGAGGTTAACGAGTTATACAATTTAAATCAGGAGGGCTGGTGTGATTAAAAACGAAACGAACTGGACACCCAAACCCTGCAATGGTCGGATACTGGAGTCGGGAAAATACGGAATCGTATCATCTGTGCTCCGGAATACAGGTGGGATGAATGATTCCGGTAACCGAAATAAGTTGATGAAAAGCTAGAACTAGTAAGACATAATCGAAGGTTGATGGCACGAAGCATTACAAACGTTAGTCCTTGCATTGGTGTGCCAATTTCTGCAATTGGCTTATTTATTTAAATAAACCTGGTAGATTGCTGCACACCAGGCTCTGCGTGTATTCCAACGAAATGTTTAGATATGCCGCAGTTCGTCGGAGGCTATTTTGACTCATCTTGAAGTAGCATGGGCCATCTTGGAGGCCATCTTGCGACTTCGAAGCCTTATTGGAGCAATCTTGGGCCATCTTGGGCGCTCTCCTCCTTTGCTGCCCCAGGAAGGGGGCAAGGCAAGAAATTTCAATAGAAGAGAAAAGAAAAAAACGCGTGATATGCCTAACGGGCAATCGGATATTGCACGGAATAATGGCGAACAGCGCATATCAAGATCGAGCGTGTTTTTTTTGCGGGGGATGGCAGGTATGTGGGATAGTCGGAGAGGGGCACTGAGACGGAGGGTTCAGGAGCCCTCGCAGGGAAAGGGCGGACAGGAGCACCGTGGGAAAGGGTCGGAGAGGAGCACTGGGAGGGAGGGTCGGGGAGGAACACTCGGAAGGACGGTCGGAGAGGAGCAGCGGGAGGGAGGGTCGGAGAGGAGCATTAAGACGGAGGGTCGAAAAGGAGCATTCGGAGGGGAGGGTCGGGGAGGAGCATTAGGAAGGACGGTCGGGGAGGAGCACGGGGAGAGGGTCGGAGAAGAGGAGCGCTGGGAGTGAGGGTCGGAGATGCGATAGATGTGTTTTGTCTGGCTCTCACTCTTTCAAAGCCTCCCTTGCTACAGATACTCATCTTCGGAATCGGTAGCGTCTACATCGCCCAAAGCCACGCGCTGCACGGTGCAAGGGTCCAGGTCCATGGACTCCGGCTCGTTTTCCTCAAAGAGACCCTGCACGAAATCCGGGCCTGCGTCGGCGGGCGAGACGAAGAGGTTCTCGTCGGTGTCCGAGCCGAATAGTTCTTCCTCCATTCTGCGGTCCTCCTCCACCGCCGAGTCGTAGTCCTCGAATAACTCGAGCATCAAGGCCTCGTGGGCCCCGGCATGTGCAGTGATAGCCGGCACTTCCTGAGCAGCGCCTGGATCTTCGCCGCGGCCGCGACCTCGGCCCCTCGCCCTCCCGGCGCGGCCCCTGCGACCCCGGCCTCTGACGCCGCGGCCAAAGCTCTGCGGGCGTTTCCGAGTCCGCGCGTGTCCGCGCACGCGGCCGGTGATCCGCCCGCGACGTTTTGGGGGGTCATCCGATAAATGGTCGGCGAACTCCAATGCGTGCTCGGTTTGCCCAGCAATAGCGAAATCCTAGTGGCTCTCGGTGACGTGGCCGGCCGGCGTGCGCATGAGCAGGGTGAAGTGCCGACGCAGGTACAAAATCTGGCGTTTCTCGAAGTCTGATTTTCCGTCGCCTGCGCGTATTCCAAGGTAGCGCCATGTCCTTGGAAATTGCGGACGACCTCGGTGAGAAAGCGTTCAAAATGGCACGAAGGTTGGGCTCGTCATACGCGGCGCCGTCGCATTCTGGCCAAACTCAAAATTCATACCCTGAACCATCTTGGTGGTAGTAGAAATACGACCCCTCCATGGTCATCCTGATCATGCCGTCAAACACAAGACGTTGAATCGTTGAATTTGCTGCTGCTCTCCAGCAGGCGGGGGCACCCCGGAAACCCAGTCGGCCTCGCCCTCGCAGCAGCTTTTTGTTTGGACAAGAAGGGTCTTCGCCATTCCGCGTTTCGGGGAATATGTCATTAAAGTTCCCCGCGCCGTACCACGCGATAATGTATCCCTCTAGACATTGGACTTCTCGGAGAACGTCTGCAGTTTTTTGGGTTTGTTGCAAGTTGAACCACGTTCCAGAATGATTCGATCGCGTTACACGAATACGCAGAGAATGGCGGCGAGACTCGCGATGGCGATCTCTGCCATTCGGCATCCCATAGCGCGCCTTCTGTCAGAAGAAAGTTTTCTCTGAAATAATCAGCAAAATCAGCTTCTCCATCGTCTTGCAATTTCTGGACGACCTTGCGCCAGAAAATATCGAATAACTCGGGTGGTAGGAATGCAACAGGCCACCCGCGATCGTGATATCTTTCTTCACGTGTTGTAAGTATCTGATGCGCGTCGCGGACGGGAACTTGCGTTAGAACACGCTGCTAAGGGCGGCGCCCCCATCGATGTAGACAGCGGGTGTCCTAGCAACCACGTCCATGTTGACGCCCGAAGGCGCGCGCAAATGCAGTCGACCGCCGCTTTGACAACCGGATTGTTTTCCTGTTGGGTGCATGCGTTGGAAATATGAACGAACGCATTTTGAGTTTTGAGAACATATCCCACGGCACAGTAACCGTTCCCAAGCAAAAAAAAACAATAGGGCGACTTGTCCAGCTGACGGCGGTTGCACAAATGTATCGAACATTCTAGATCACTGTCTTTTTGGGACGCACGTTAGCACCGATCGCGCGTGCTTTCGAATCGGCAGGGTGCCCGAGCTTGATTTTGTTGTTGCCGATGTAGACCAGCTATGCGGAGGGACGCCCCGAGGTATACATCGGGGCGTTGAGGAGTCAACGCGCGCTCGGGGGCGCATATGGGCAATTCTGGCTCGAACGTCATTGCACGACAACCGCCCTATTGCAAATTACTCGGTGCAGAAACATCGCGAATCTGTGTCCTGGGCGAGGTCGCCAGAAACTGTCCCCCTTTGGACGGCCGTCTGCGGATCACCTCAGTTAAGTACCTAGCCGGGGTGCCGCAATTCACCCCAACAAGGTCGTATACATCGGCGATTTCAGGCAGGTCTTCCGTGCCTAGCCGAGGTGGCGGCAAGCCCAAAACGCTCTCGAACACATATCACGCATGCCATCCAAGACGTGGCCGCTGCATCGGCCCCCTGGGGGCGCGACGTTGCACCGTCGTTCCTTATCGATTAGGACAGGCGCCGCCGCATATGCGCGGATTTGAACCGCGCACGCACCACGATGTCCCGAGACGTCTCTAACAAAAACCAGCGCTTGTCGCTGCAATCAGACACCCAACCAATCGAGTGCGCCGTTGCGTCGACGCGCGGATGCTGCACTGGCGCGCGCGGGGTAAGTTGACTGGACACAAAAGCAAACGCGCAGTCCCCCGGACGGTGCCCATCTCACCTTCGCTGGCCCCGGGTACGGGTATCTTTCGGACTAATCAATGGCATGATCGGAGAAGGGCCCGCGATCAATTCGGAAGAACTTGAAATAACTACAGATACATTGCGGGTAAAATTCTAAATCTTCTGCAAGGTATTGTCGAATGAAAACAGAATCTCTATCTAATATGGCACTGGTTTTGCAAAAAAAAAAAAAAAAAAAAAAAAACGGCGAAAAAACAATGATCCGTCGGGGAGGCGCGTAAGAAACGTCGAACAGATTAAAGCCCCGAAAAAATTGCGATATATCATTGGAAATCACGGGCAAAATGTGATTCGTCGCGTGCGATTGACCATTCAGTAGGGGCTGCCCGTGACGCCGCACGCATAATTTATGATT